GGGGGGCCCGGGGGGGGGGGGGGGGGGGGGAAGGTGGTGAACGCTCACCGCCGGACATATTGCGTGCGCTACAACAAAAGAGAACAGAAGGGGCAACTGTCACCATCAAACCGTGGTCAGTTTTTCAGCGTGAAATATTTAATCTCTTCGTGTGCAGATCAGGGTGAGAGGAGAAAACGCATTGAGAATTGCTAAGTGAAATGAATGCACTCTACTGGCTAGCTCAAAGGACTGCTTTGGCTTTGTGAGCAAAGGTCTGGCCTTGAGCGTGGACGATGGCGTTCCAAGCCTGCGCCTCAGTTGCCACCTTTTGGCAAAGTAGGTTGGTGAGGTAGGCGTCTTTCAGGTAGACTCCCAGTTCCATCAACCTCCAGTCGACCCCTCGCATGGTGTGGATCAGCGCATGCGCTCCATGGCAGAGGCATGCCCGCATCAGTCGTCGCCGGAGGTGTTCCACCTCATTGATGAAAAGGGGATCATGCATCTTTGGCGTCGTGATCCTGTCGAATACGACGGCCTGCTGCTTCCTGGTATGAGTAAAGATCTCTTCGGGATAGATACAACAGCCGGCGAGAGGAGTGCTGCCATGTTGTTGGGTGGTGTGGAAGGCTAATGTTACACCCCAGGCGCGAGTGCCATGTCCTGGGTCTGCCCAGGCCCTGCCAGGCCCAGGACACCTCTCTGGCTTTTGGCCTGTTCCACTCCTGCACCACACAAGGCCCAGGCTTAGAGCCAGGGTTGGTGGCGCTCCCACCTTGTTTCTTTTCTTTGTCAATTGTATTCTATTCAGCACTAACGTGTTTTGTGTAGTAACGACGCACGCGTAGTAACGACGCGCTGAGTAATTCCAAATTGACCCACCAGTATGGAGTGAGTCGCGTGCATGATTGCAAACTGAGCCATCCATCCGTTCCTGAGACCCACCAACCCTGCATACCCCGCTTAACCTTATTTGTTGCCACTACCATCACCGCCCGTTAAACACCGCAATACCGACTTTGTTCCATGCATACCGCCGTCTGCCATGCCGCGAGCCTCCTCCTCGGCCCGGACAAAGGCCGCCCGGGCCGCATCCGTCTCCGAACGGGATCTGCGTGAGTCTCGCCTGCAGCTTGCGGCGTCGGAGCTCGCATCCGGTGTCCACGCAAGCATCCGAGCGGCCGCAAGCGCACATAACGTGCCGGAAGTGTGAAAAGATAGAGACACCGGGAAGGAGC